CAAGCCAGGACTGCTTTGCAAGCGGGGCACCCCTGAGAACTGTCTGTCCAGGGTGGGGATCGGGACCCTTTAAGCACAGCCCTCGGCTAGCCTGAGACAGCATCTCCACGCTCTAAGTCCTCCTCTGATGCCCTGCCGGCACTGCTTCCGGCCATCCTTAACCCCGCTTCAGGGTCCACTTAATGTGGACGCACTAGTTCGAATTAGCAAAACGCTAATTCGAACTAGTTTTTAGTTCTAGATGCGTTAGTTCGAATTAGCTTAGTTCGAATTAACTAATTTGAACTAAGTTAGTTTGAATTAGTGCTGTAGTGTAGACATACCCCCAGAAAGGTTGTTACATCTATGACTCATTGCGAGTTATGTTAAGATCTCCAGGCATTATCCAGAATAAGGATATGTAAAGATTCCTCCATGTCTGCCAGCTCACACAGGTATCAACTGATGCAAGAGGAAGTCTAACGTGCTCTGTGTAAAGTGCTCAACTCTGCAACCTAACATTTAACTTCTGTGGACTTTCTGAACAAGGTCCATATACCATGCTCTGAATAATTAATGTGTTCTCTTACTAGTGGCCCTCACTGGTGATTTATAATGGAGAAAAGAGAAAATGGAGAAAATGCCTTCTCTTTCTGATACATTAAGGAGGCCTTGTTTTCCTCAGGGGGAAAAACTATTAGAAATTCATCTTTTTCCTGGAGTGGAAAAAGAATGGAGAACTAATGAAAATGGCAGTATTACAGACCCAAGGGAGAGAAAGTTGAGCTATTAAAGAGAAATTTTATAGTAGACTGTTAATCTTTTTGAAGGTTTTTATTAAGTGAAGACCTCACACAGTGACCTTCCAGCAATCAATCTCTCTGTCACACACACCCTCAGCCAGCTCTTGCAGAGCAATCTCTCTCACACACCCTGCACCCTCCCTCCTGGTGCACGCACGCACACATAGAGTCCTTAGCACTACTTGGGCCATAGCTGAGCTTTTTTAGATTGAAGAAAAATAAACATATTTATACATACATCTTTAAGAGATACAAAGGGCACAGGGCCATTTCAAGTCCTCTGTATGTCACCTTTTAAGAATTTGTAAGAAATTGTTAGGGCACAGCAAGCCCTAATAATTAATCGGAACATAAACAAAATTCCTTTTAAGATCTTTGTAAATGTTTTTTTATAAATTTTATTTTTTTAAAATTGAAATTATGGACATACCTCATCCCCATGCATATTGGCAATATACTTGAACTCCGGTATGCCAATTGTATGTTCAGTTGGAAATCTTCCCAGAACAAGAACCCACAGTTCTCTACCTTTAAAAAGGGGAAGGGGTAAAGTACTGTTAAGTGTAAATTTACACAAACAAAAGGTTAGAAATCCTACATATTCTCCCACTTTTTTCCCAGTGTACCCTTCATATAGCATAAAAATGTTTTTATAAGACTTCAGAACTGTACTTTGTCTTCAAAGTAGGGATGTGAAGGACTAGTCGACTAACCAATAAGCTTTTGACTAGTCGAGCAAGTGGGGGGGAAGAGAAGGGAGTGCTTCAAAGTGGCAGCACCATGTGGAGCCTGGGGTCAGACCTCAGGCTCCCCATGGCACTGCTGCTTTGAAACCCCCTTGTGGGCTGTTTCCACACTTCAAAAGGTGGAGATGCCCTATCAACTAGTCAAATAGTCGATGCAAAATGCATCGACTATTCGATTAGTCAATTACCTGCAATTTAACATCCCTATTTCAAAGCCCAAGTTAAAAAATGTACAAAGGTATTCTTTTGTAAAATACTCCTGAAAATGCAGGTATTACTCACCCAGATAGAATAGCTCAGAAAACTCTTTTAAATTCAGGTTTATTGAATAAGAGAGAGGATATGGTTAGGAAAACTTACTGTAAGTGACAAGAAAACAAAACAGTTTCCTGAGAGACAGGAAAAATATTTCAACGCCAGTAAAGTAGGAGCATCATCTTGCAAAATAAAATATAATTAATTGTTGGAGAGACGTCTGGAGCCACTGAAGTAACTATAAAAAAATTTCTCTGAGATCAACAAGGATAAGAAATGAGTCTCAAAAACAAAATTAACTGTAATGGATTACCATCTATAGCAATGGCTTTTTGTTGTTGGGGACATGTTTTGCTACCATTATTCATGGGAGCAGTCTCATTGCAGGATCAGGGCCTAGATTATCAAATTTAAGCCTGGCTGCCAAAATGCAACCAGATTTAGGTAGTAAGTCTGCCACTATTCAAAAGGGAAAGAGGTGACAGGAAAAAATAGATTTTCTGAAACTAAATTATTTCTAGTGGACCCAGGAACTACCCATATCAAAGCATCCTGTGTAAAATAAGCTAATGGATGGAGAGACAAGACCTGTCATATTTATACATGTAAATAAATGGATTCTGGGAGAAGTGTCTGGTCCAACTAGCAGCATGTCAAAGCTATAAAATTTTGAAGAAAAAAATAAGACTATATCTATTTTTTTTAAAGGATAGTATATTGAAGCATCTGTACATATTATATACACGAAGTTCTGTACCTGTATTATAGCAAAACTAAAGGTACATACTAACAGAAAACACTGCCTCACCTGATGGCTCCCTGGGCCTTTTTCCATATATTTAAACTTAACATGTTAAACCAAAAAAGCAGACCCCATGTAATGGATCACTTTGATACACATACACAGTTAGCCCTAAATCTGTCTTCGTTAAAGCTGACAGAATATATGAACACACTAAACAAGAACTTTTGTGACTAGTCAAGCTTCTATTTGAAAATTAGAGGGATTTTACATTTGCGAATCTTCAAAACTGATCTGCATAATTCATTTAAAAAGAAAAACCTAAGTTTATGCCATACTTTAAAATATTTGGCTCATCAGTTGTGAGTTCTAATACCAAATATGCTGGATGATTGTTCAATACCAAACTGCTTTGCATAAAATGCTTATTTGGGAATATGTCAGTATACAATCCCCACTATATAATCTCCCTACCCCAAAAAAACCCAACCCAATAAAATACAAACTAGAATTTACCAACATTTGATTTAGGTTATTGTTCAACCAGATCTATTTACACCAAGTATGTGCCACAAACTTATTCACAATTAGTAATAACAGTACAAGTAGTCCCATGGAAGTCACTGGAACTGCCTTCCAAGTAAGTAATTCAATGTGAGGAAGAGTGGCAAAATCTGATTGCTCTTAATAAGGAAGATAAGAGACAATAGATTTGCATGCTGTAACTAACTATCTGAAGATATTATACTGCTACCCAACATCATAGTAACTGAGTGCCTTCTGTGTAAAATCTATAGCAATAGTGAAGTCACTAATGGACCTAATAGAATCTCTGGCACATATTCCTTGGGATAGGATGTTTTTTGGGGGAAAGAAAGAAGGGGAATTAGTAGGGGGATTGAGAATAAAAGGGCTGTTTAGATTGTCAGAACAATTTAAGATGGAACGTTTTGCAACACATCCTAAAAGATGGCAAGACTGGACTCACTAGATCACCCCGGAAGACTGTTTTACAGCTGGATCTCCTTGTCAGAGAATACCTGGTCCTCACCCTTTTTCACATGCTTCATTCTGGGCTGTGTGATCTGCCGTGTTCCAGAGAAATACAGCCTTCACAGTAGTTCTTAGAGCAAAATTTAGTCTTTGATGTAGCTAGGGCTTGACTCATTACTAATCAGCCTAAGATCTATAAAAGCATTATTTGTTATAGTATTCAAAACTTTAAAGCAGGATTTAAAAAATAAATTTCTCAATTTTGAAAAGCAAAGTTACTCACCTCGGTGCAGTAACTGTTGTTCTTCGAGATGGTCCCTGTGGGTGCTCCACAGTAGGTGCTGGGCTCGCCCCGGTGCCGCAGAATGAAGACTCTTCAGTAGCAGTGTTCGGCTGGACTGCGCATGCACGGCAATGTCTTGCGGTGTTCGCGCTCTTTTCTATGCTCACGCGATCCGTCCCCTTCCAGTTCCTTAAGGCTGCCTCGGAATCTGAGAGAAAGAAGAAAGAGAGACTCCGAAGCGGGGAGGAGGATGGGTAGTGGAACACCCACGGGGACCATCTTGAAGAATGACAGTGACTGCACCAGGGTGAGTAACTTCGCTTTCTTCTTTAAGTGGAGTCCCCGTGGGTGCTCCACAGTAGGTGACTGAGCAGCAATACCCCCATGAGCAGGAAGGTGGGATATGGAGTCCCTACTTGTTCGCTGATAAGAGCACTGCTGACACCACTGCAGCGTCTGAGAGCCATTTTTGTTGGATTGCGTAATGTTTAACAAACGTATCGTGATGACCAGGTGGCTGCCCTGCAGATGTTTTTCAGGGAAATGCCTTGAGGAAGGCTATTGACGCTGCCATTGCTCTCGTAGAATGTGCTCAAGGCTGCGCTGGAAGTGATAAGCCCTTGGTGACATAAGCCTGGGTTATGCACGTGGTTATGAGTTTAGAAATACGCTGAGATGATAAAGGCTGTTCCTTAGATTTCTCAGCTAAAGAGACGATTAGGCGGTCTGTTTTCCTAAAAGATTTCATGCAGTCTATATAAAAGGCGAGGGCTCTACAGATGTCAAGTGTATGGAGAGACGTGTCACATAGTGAGGCGTGAGGCTTGGGTTAAAAGGAAGATAGGATAATAGGTTTGTTGATATGAAAGGACAAACAAACTCTAGGTATAAACGCTGGATGAGGCCTTAGGACTCCCGCATTTTTACTGAAGATAGTGTACAGCGGTGTTACCATAAGTGCTGATAACTCACTGATTCCACATGCTGATGTAATTGCGAGAAGGAAGGCTACCTTCATAGTTAATGTTTGCAAAGGTATGGTGGCCAACGGTTCAAATCGTGGTGTGGTTAAGGCCCCAAGAACAATGTCCAAGTTTCATACTGGGGGAATGGATTTACAAGGGGGCTTAGATTCACAAGGTCTTTCATGAATCTCTTGGTAGTCGGGTGGGTGAAAAGGGAGGTGCCTTCAATCAGTTGTCTGAAGGCGGAAATTGCAGCTAGATGAACTCTGAGAGATGCTGAGGCTAGGCCTGTGTGTTTTAGGTATAGCAGGTAGTTGAGGACAAGGTGAAGTGGAGCGGCATGCAGGACCAGCTGCTGCGTGGCACACTAGGAGGCGAACCTGCGCCATTTCGAGAGGTAGGTATTTCTGGTCGTCTGCCTTCTACAGTGAATTACTACGTTTTGGACCTGAGTAGAGCAGGAGATTCAGAAGGGTTCAGCCAACTAGGAGCCATGAAGTGAGCCGCAAGGTATGTATTTGGGGGTGTCGCAGTGTCCCTTGGTTCTGAGGAGGTTCGAGAGGGTTGGCAGCTGTTACAGTCTGCATGATGACATGCGTTAAAGGAAGGGGAACCAGTGCTGACACACCCATGCTGGTAATATTAGTATGACTGTGGCACCGTCCGTTTTGATCTTCTGCAGAACTTTGGGAATGAGAACTGTAGGTGGAAAAGCATAGAGGAGAGGTCTGCTCCAGTTGAGGAGAAATGCATCGCCTATGGTGCTTGGGTCGAGTCCGGCTCTGGAACAGTATTTCTGGCATTTACGGTTGTGACACATAGCAAAAAGATCTATATGGGGAGCGCCCCAGAGTCAGAAGAGAATATGGAGGACTCCGTCGTGAAATTCCCACTCGTGCTCCAGAGCGAAATGTCTGCTGAGGAAGTCTGCATGAATGTTCGTGACGCCAAGCAAGTAAGATGCCACAGGTGTTATGCCGTGGCGAATGCACCAATTCCAAAAGCAGATCGCTTCCATTCAGAGGGAGCGGGCTCTGCCTTGACGGCTCATATAATACATTGAGGCGACGTTGTCTGTGAAGATTTTTACTGAGGTATAGCAGATGTAACTGAGGAAATATTTGCAGGCATTGAAGATTGCCCGGAGTTCCAGTAAATGTATGTGGAGTCGTGTCTCAGAAAGTGAGCAGTAGCCCTGGATTGAAATTTTGTCCAGGTGTGCTCCCCACCCCCAAAGGGAGGCGTTGGTGGTGATATGACGTGAGGGTTGTTGTGGGTAGAAGGGCACGCCAGCAAGAAGATTCGTGCGGTTTGTCCACCAATGGAGTGATTGGATAACAGATGGCAGAGGGGTCACTGATCTGTAGAGGTCGTTCTTCGTATGGTTGTATACGGACACTAGCCAATACTGAAGGCTGCGAAAGTGTAGTCTGGCATAATGGACCACGTAAGTTGTAGCTGCCACGTGACCCATGAGTTTTAAACAAGTGAGTAACTGGATGGACGGACGGACTGTCTCAAACAACTTCTGTGAGGTCTTGGAT